TATCTATCGTTCTGTCTGTCTATCTATCGTTCTGTCTATCTATCTATCTATCTGTCTATCTATCTATCAAACATGAAAATATTCATCAAAATATTGTTTATTATTTATACGCTCAAAAATTATTTATACTGTTTATAATACATACAAATATATCAAAACCTATAATAATAATCATAAATATATACACATGTTTGTCAGAATATTTATACAAATATCAAATACTATTTTTAATAAATAATAATGCATGATAATATTTGTCAAAATATTTAACTTGTATAAAATGTTTATACTGTTTATAATAAATACATTTTGTCAAACACTTTAAAAGATTTGGTAAAAAGATAAAACATAATTATCAATTATGTAAAATTAGTTTCTCTATAAATAATTATTTAGAATTTTGTCGAACCAAAAAAATGACAAATGAGTTCAAGAGATGCACCTGTTTTAGCCATTTGAACAAACCCCAATAAAACGAGACGATAAATGAGAAGTAGGATCTGAGACGAGACGCGGTTCTGAACAACAGGATTTTATCACAATCATCGGAGGACACACGCGTTCAGTCGACTGAAGAAGGATGAAGGTCAGATTTCAGCGGGATCTGATTCAGATGAGCTGCTCTGAGTGCAGAGAAACGCACGTCTAACCCGTCACAGACACCTCGAGAACATTAAATCACATTTAATATCGTCTGAATGCTATTTCATCACACTTAAAAACAGATGCTCAAAAGCAGTGGTATTTGAATACAATTAAGAAATTACCGTTTTTACCAATATTTTGGAATAATAATTTAGTATTTTTTATTTTAATTTGTATACATTTTTGCATCTGTTGTTTTTATAATGTCTATTTAGTTCTTATTTTTAGTTTTAGTAGTTACATATTAGTCAAGTCACCTTTATTTATATAGCGCTTTTAACAATACAGATCGTGTCAAAGCAACTGTACAGCATTAAATAGGAAAATAGTGTGTCAATAATGCAAAAAAGTATTTAGTATTTATATGTAGTAGTTATACATATACATATATAATGTATAACATTATAACATCCTTAAAAATCATTAGAAAATTTCAAGTGAGGGTTAATTTCAAAACGATAGTCGTAGGCTGCAACCTAATGCATCAAAAAATACAAATAATAATAAAAAAAACGAATTAAATTTACTTACTGCATGTTATGGTTATTAAACAGTCATTTTGAAATACGATCAAAAATACGATCTAACCGTATCAGTTTCTACTTCTCATTTAGAATGTATGGAGATATGAAGGATGCAGTACTACTCTATAGGTACTCAAGATTAGCATGAGATTGTGTGAAACTGTGTGTGTTTTGTCCCCTTTAACGACGACAGCGAACAAGGAGAACGTGAGCACTGTGTGCGCATGCGCTGCCGTTCTCAGCACCATCAAAATAAAAGTCTGGCACGCTGTCAAAATAAAAGTCCCGCCTCGAACGCATTGGCCAAACAGAAAAACTTATCGGCTGATGCCG